TTCCCTTGCTTTTCGTCTCTGTTCTTTTTTAGCATCAATTTCTCTCTTAGAAACAAAGTTGATCAAGTCCGCCATCTTGAAAAGTAGATTGGATGTTTGCTGACCGATTTACTAAAGGCTCAACAATACTGCAAGGAATCCTGGTTAGTCTTTCTGCGGAAAAAAAATGGCGCGCGAAATGGCGGAGTTTTCAAATGTTATCGCTGACAATCAAAACGATATAGTACACATTTTAGAAAATGCATCTCACTTAAATGACGCTGATAGCGGGTATCGCCACGTCAGGGTCAGAGATATCCAACAAAACACTGATGTTTCGGCATGCCATGTGAAAGGTACACGTATGTTTAACTTCCGCTAAAATTATTGATTAGAATGGTCTAGCATAAACGCCTGATACTCAGGCTATTCGAATACAGTCAAAGATGACTGCATTACCCGCACCATTTAAATGGGACGATCTGCTCAATCCGGTTTTTCAGTGGGTCCGGCCTCGACGATAATTTGGATCCAGAGATTCCAACCCTGTCAACTGAAAAAAAGGGGGGTTTTAGGGGCGGTTACCTACTTAGGTGGGGTAACCCGCCTGTCCGTACAATCTCTTCTGTTAATTTGATCGCGTTTGCATGATAGGTGGGGTGACCATATGAGACATTACAAGGCGGGTTACCCCACCTAAACGAGTTACCTCACCCACCTGGGGTCCCCCTCCTCCATGCATCCTCCTTTTGAGATCACAGTCAATTGAAATACCGCACCCCAAATTATCGCAGGCTCATGCTTAGATGTCAAAAGGATAAAAATGGCTAAGAAACGACTGAGAAACCACAGAAAAACGGCAAAGAATTGTGCTTAAAAGACTTATTAAATAAAGAAAACAAAGCGTTTCAAAAACTGGTAGAATATTAAGCGAAAATGGGAGGCCAGAAATATTCACCAAAAACAGGAGGTTTCTGCCTGGGAATCTCTGTTGATCAGCCCTAGGGGTTGCTAAAGGAGAGACCTCTGCCGACCTACGATGATTTTCTTATCACTCATGCACTGGAGTTGCCTTAACAAGCAGTAAAGTTTTAGTCGCGTGCGTTATAACTTATAGAACTGATTTTTGTGATAATACACGTGGGCCCAGTGTACAGTCGCAACAGGGTATATGCATCCCAGGGGTGTGTATTCTGGATTTCAAGTGACAGGGATGATCAAAGGAATTTTCGGGTTTGAAATTTTCATTTCCAGGTCTTTTGGGGGTATAAAAATTTGGCAATTATTTATTTGGGTGGCTTGATTTAAGTCGGGATTTTATGGGGGATTCAAAACAGATTTGTGGTAGTGCCAACATATCCTGCCGGCTTATTTCTTTGAATAAAGTACAACCAAAGAAAGTACATGTTGTCATTTAATGCTTTTTAAAAATTTTAAGGCTCAGAAATTTAGCATGGGATTTTTTGGGGGGGTTAAGCTTTGGTCCAGGGATTTTTTTAGGTTTTGTTGGAATCGCTAGGGATTTTTTTGGGTTTGGATTTTTGCCACCGTTTGAACATCCCCATCACTTGAAATCCGGAGTATCTTCCTGGGTATATGCTTTCCACATTAAACAAAACTCGTTTGAAAACCAATCAGTTTTGACCACAAATATGGTTGGCAGCTGTATGGAAGAATGTGTCAGAGGCTGGTAGAGTTCTCTGGGAGGCCCAAGGCTAAACCCCCAAGGCCCCTACCTTAGAGTAGTCTGGCCACTGGTACCTACTTGTAGCACAGGCAGACCATACTCTGTTAGCATGCCGATCCAAATCCATCAATCAGCCCATTGTGACTGTTGTCAGTTCAAGACTCCAATCTTGCCCCGACAACAGTTGTGATATGCTGATTGCTGGATTTGGATTGATGCGCATACCTCAAACGCCTTTGGTTGAGCATTTTGCAACAATCATGTTTGGAAAGCTGGCCTTGCAACTTAAGAATCCTTTTCTTGCGAAATTTTGGAAGGATTGAATTCTCACTATAAAGTGGACGAGGTCACGCACCACCAGCTGATTGCTGCCCGCTTTGTTTTCATCTTTACTTCACCCAATTTCCAATAATTTGAAAATAATGAACAGATACCATTTCAGTCTTGTTTTTAAAGGGACAGTTTTTACAGCAGTACACCAGATTGGAGGAAAATAATTTGCTATTCATTTCAGGAGCACAGGCGGAGAGACATGGACATGAAAAATGCATCTACACAAAGCTTGCAGAATTAAAAGTAAACACTGTCGTCAATGTGTATGGTGTGGTTAAATTTTTTAAGAGCCCTTTTAAGACCAAAGGCTCTGATTTTGTGTGCACCCTGAGTTTAGTGGATCCATCACTGCCTTCTTTGGATAGTTCTTTTAAATGCGTATTATTTTCCAAGTCAAAGGAGGGCTTGCCTTCGGTCAAGGCTGTAGGAGATGTAGTTCGTTTTCAGCATCTTGGAGCTGGTCATTATCAGGGTGAGCTTCAGGGAAAATTCACAGCAGATTCTTCTTGGTAAGTTTTAATTCACCACTGCTTTTATTATCTCTGCATCCTGCGTCCCTGATGCAAAATAATTCATGAAATGCATCCCACAGGATGCAAAGAACAGTTGATCGATTTGAAGATTTTTTGGTAGAGTATCCTGTTAATGTGATTTCTCTGGCTGTTGTTCAAAGATGCATATTTATTTTAGTCTTTTTTGTGCTTTAAATATATAGAAGGACTGTACTACTAATTTAAAACTGTAATAAAGAGTTTTGGCATCTGTCTCCAGATTAACTGTCTGGTTACATAAAGGCTCGCACATCTTCCATTTAGGACTCCTTGCTTTTTTTTCTTTACTGGAACTCAATGGTTATGGACATAAGGCTGTGCTCTAGCAGAGCCCGGTGGCCCGTGGCACCTAACTTTTGTTCTCGGGCGACTAGAAAATCTTTGCTTTTTCATAGAACCCATATTCTGGGCACACTGGATTTACAAGTTCAGAGCACTGGGCTCTCTTCAATTTTTCTTAGAGCACAGCCTTGGGACAGGGACTCATGATTTTTCACAAGATGAGTCCCAGGACTCACCATAACTGTTTTGTAACAAAATTACTGATAAACCCTTCAAATGCTAAGAGTGACCATGAGTGGGAATGATAATTCTTTTTATTTTCTTCCAGCAATATCTCTATATCATCAAACGAAAGGTTATCAGAATTTACATTAAATGTTTACTAAAGGGAAAAAATGCTTTTATCTTTTATCAAACCAAAGAGGATGGGAAATTGGATAGAGATCACCGGAGTAAGGAAGAAACACTTTCCTTTGGTGATAAAAAGCTTGATTGACTAGAACTGATTACTTGTCTCGCTCCTTCACCCTATATATTTTTGTTCTTTTGTTGGCACTCCCCCTCCCCCATGTCCTCCCTCCTCTCCCTCCTCCATTTCAAGCACTGGCCACTCAGCAGCAAGGAAATTTTTATCATCGTTTTTTCAGGGTCGTGTTTGACATACACAGCTCAGATACTCCACAAGTGAGAGCATCCTCATCAAAGTCATACAATTTGACCGATGATGAAAAAGGTGTCCTTGAAGAACTACAGGCATGGAGTGCACACAAGGAGGCTCTCAACAAAAGGTTCTCAATCACCAATCTGAAAGATCTAAGTACCACTCACCATTTCATAAACTTACTTGCTCAAGTGGTAGCCATAAGGTGGACAGAAAAAGGTGACATAGTCTTGACATTATGGGATGGATCCCTTCCTGCCTGCCAATCAGTACTGGTTGATCCAATCAGTGAAAAGGGGCAAGTCATGTCTGATAAACTCATGCGTAAAGCATCTAAGCGCTGCAATGATGTAATTCTCTATGACAACCATGTCAGAAGCATTGGTACAAAGATCTGCCCTGGTGATTTTGTTTCTATCAGGAATGTACATGTTAAGGAGAGAACAGCTGACAGCAGCGTTACAGCACATAATCCTCAGGTAATTTGTAGCAGTTAAAGGTACAATTTACATAACTGCTCTGCATTAAATTTAAAATTGTTTTTTTCAACCTTCAAAGGCATCCATGAGCTATCCCCTTTGTACATGAAAGAACTGCTAACTCTGTATTGTTCCGCACACATGCTTCGATCATCATTTTCCTCACTTTTAGCCCGGACTGATTATAACATGGGGACCTATGGTGCCAGGGCGTTTGCCATCTCTGCCACTGAGCTGTGGAATCAGTTACCTGATGACATTAAATCTATTGCCAATTTAACAACTTTTAAATCAAAGCTTAAGACCTGTTTTTTAATATCGCTTTCAAGAATTATTTGTTATCTAAATTTCATTTTTTCATTTTTATTTTTTACAATCATGTGAATATTGTGTAAAGGGCATAAAGCTTCTGTATATGCACTATACAAATGTTTATTATTATAATTCTAATAATAATAATAATTATTATTATTACAATTAACCCCATCTATTTCTCTAACCTCTTGGCTAGTCATCATAGACTAGTGGATTTTGTTGCTGGGCAAATAACTTTTACAGCTCGGGTAAGGGTCTAAGCAAGTCATCCTCTAACAAAATCATTGACCAAGACGAGCAAGAAGTGGCCCCAGGCAAGCAAAATGTAAGAGCTGCTTGCCCAAAGGACAAGATGGAAATCAAGTTTTTTTCGAGCCATGCGATCACCTACTCTTGTGTCAGAGATCACCTAGTACTCTTCTGTCAGTGCAGCGGTTTTCACTTAAACTTTTGGGTTATGAAGCTAGATCTAGTGTACATACATAAACCTCACCTTATCTGCCAGCCTCCCGTCCAGACTGTAGCATTAGTTAAAAGAACAAGCATGGGAAAATACTCTTTGAAGACATAGAATAAATAACTAGTCTATTAATTTGTTAGGCCCTTCAATGTCACGATCTCTTTTTCCGAAGGTGGCCGCTTAATAGAAGATTGCGTTTTTGTAACTGCATTATTACAGTGCATGTATTGTTTTTAACACCGTTGCCATTGTGAGTTTGAGGGTAAAATGTCGTCGTACTTTGGCCCACGGGAGTTTAGAGAGCATGCAAACTCAGCATGGTCACTTGTTTGCAGACCTTGTACATGTGCTTAACGTCAATGCAAAAATTCTCTTATCCTGCGTGGCAAGCGTTTCCGCGCGAGTTAGTCCAGAAAGTTTTGCGCTCTCCAACTTTTCGCGCAATAAATCGATTGAAAGCGCTTGCAACGTAGTCTAAAACTCTCTAGAGTATAATCTTTGCTCTTTTTTTACAACGCTAATCTCCTCTTCCAATTCACCCTTAAAACGTGCATTAATCAATGTAATGCTGTCTTATTTTACTTGCAGTTAGCAGAGTCACGTCCTCTTGTAAGCCTAGAAGTCCACAGGGGTACCATTTGTGGACGCGGAGTTGAAATTCTTTCAGCTAACGACCCTCAAGTGACGTCAAGTGCAATGATGGCATTCATGGCCAAAGCAGAGGAATTAATGATACAGCAGGAGGAGAGTGATGCTATGGACACCTCTGAAAGTGAAGGTATTAAAATAACGACGACACGACCCTTGGATCAGTGCTGTAAAGTACAGGAAAAGAGTAGCGCCGGTGAAGAGAGCTGTCAAGGTATAGCCCCTGTTCACAATATTGAAAGCCAGGCTCTCCAAACTTCAATGAATCCACAACCTCTGGATCAGTGTGGTGAAGTACAGGAAAAGTCCAGTGGCGCCGGTGAAGAGAGCTGTCAAAATATAGCCCCCGTACACAATACTGAAAGCCGGGCTCTTCAAACTTCATGCACAATAACCGAGCATCCCTGTATTCCATTCATGTCTATACGGGACATCAAAGCATGCAAAACGGTTCCTAACAAATTCCGCTGCAGAGTCAAAGCTGTGATATTCTTGCCATCGGAAGTGAAAGACTTCGTGCGAAGGTGCTGCCAGTCTTGTAGATGCATGTACAGAGATTGCTCTGGCTCTTCCAGTGCGACTGGTGCTTCAGAATCATCTGTGCTATGTACCAAATGTAACCGAGAGACAACTCTAGTCTATCTGTTTTCCTTTGTTATTGAAGATAATTCGGGAGTTCTCCAGGCCATGGTCTTCGACAAGGATGCCGAGACTTTCTTTCCAAATCTTCCTTCACCTCAAGATTTCGTAGAGCAAACTACTTCCCAGCATCTTCTGAAAGAATGGATGTTATCTATAACCCAGAATCTTGAAAACTCGCTTAAACTTGTTGCACCTAACCAGTATGACATAAGACCGTGGCTAGAACTCTGTATCTTATCATATATTCCTGAAAATCAAGGTCAAGGAAAGGTCCTCTATCGGGTGTTTGATTCCACATTTGTTGGAGATTCTTAGTGAATGACACGTTTATTGCGAGCTGAATTTGTATTCGTGTTTGCGTGAAAAGGCTCAGTTTGTTCATTCTAAATGAGTTTACTAGATTTGTGATACAGTATTCGGTATAGAGGCCAGTGCTTGGACATTATTATCATAACTACTCATAAAGATCTTGTAGTTTAGACGCTGTGACTGTGAATAGAGACCTTTAAAATCGAAGGCGAGTATGACTACGAAGACGAAATTTTCTCAATACTGAGGACACAGTCAGACCCCGTTAATACGGACACTTAGGGGGCCATAGAAAGTGTTCATTTAGAGAAAAATGTAAGAACGTTCTTTCCCCACGGACAAAAACAACTGTCTGCAGGGTTCGCACAGGTCATGGAAAACCTGGAAAGTCATGAAATTTAAGAATTTCATTTACCAGGCCTGGAAGGTCATGGAATGTTATTGTCAGTCCTGGAAAGACATGGAAATTAATGTTATGTTTGATGGTTAAGTTACTTTAGAATGTCAAAGCAAGGACAATGTAAGATTGAGACGGAGGACCGGAGGGAGGTGGGTGCAATGGGTGGGCTCGCATCCCCCCCCCCCCCCCCAACAGGCCCCAGGGGGCCCCCTTTTTTTTAACCACCAAAATTTTAAACAAAAAAGCTTACCCAAAAAGTGCCCACAAACAAATTTCAAAAACGTTTTTATTTTTTGAACCATGTAAACTTTTAAAACAGTTTTTGGGAA